AGTGATGGGGGAAAATTAGAAGAAAAAAAGCAAATGGCCTAACCCTAAAGCTGTCTAAATGAACATCTGCTAATATCTTAAATGCAGGATAAGAAAGCATGGGGTCACATTTCTTAGCAATACTAGTGCTCCTAATCCAACATTATCATTACTGCAGCTAGATGGGCAATGTAGGATAGTTATGATTCAGTTTGCATCTGGGTGTTATAAGTGAAGGATGCAATTTGCATAAAGGATGGGCAGTCACCTAACCTCAAGCAGTCTTTCCTGGGAAGGGGAAATCTTGTTAGTTCCTCCTTCATGCTTTGGAATGCTGTTACAATGGAGACAGATAAATATGGCATTTCAGAGTTCTTGTTAAATATTAAGTCTCCTGGAGAATTTCTGCCCACAGCTAAGAGATACATGGGAGATAAAATCCAGATTTTTTTAATATATCAGCTATTTCATAGAGTTTAAGGCCAGAAGGGGCCATTAGATCATCTAGCCTGACTTCCTGTATTTCACAGACCATTAAAATTTCACCTAGCAACCCTACACTGAACCCAAAAACTTGTCTTGGACTAAAACATTTCAGTCTTTAGGAGACTAAACTGTTGTGTGCCATAGGCAGAGAACAGGAGAGACTGCGGTTCCACCAATGCCTGAGGCCCTTGCAATGGTAGAGAATTGATTAGGTCAGATATACCCAGAGGATCCTAGCAGGTGATCAGTGCCCCATCCTCCCACCAAAGGTCCCTGCCAATCTGAGCAGGGGAAAATTCCTTCCCACCCACAACTCTGGAGATCAGTTGGACCCTGAGCATGTGAGCAGGACATCTAAGGAAACAGATTCTCTGAACCATCTTGGAGCACTGGTCCACCTTACCAGGTGTCCCTTCTCCTGCTATGGTCAATCCCTGATGCTTCAGATGAAGGTTGGAAGGAACCACCTGACCCCACTCACAGCGTACACCTAGTCAATTGTATATGGGGGGAAAAGTCCTTTATGACCTCTACAGGCAACCGGATGAACTCTGTTCCATGAGTCTTCTCTGCAAGTATTTAAATGACCATAAAATAAGATTAAAGGCGTTCTTCAAAACAGAGGGCCTAAAGTTT